TGCAGCAATAGGTATACTTTTACATTATATTAACATTTATTTTGTATGGTTCGTGAATATGTTGATTACAACAATAATTAGTATCAGTGTTACAGTATTTTAAATATTATAAAAAACAATAAGTACCTACATCACCTGGTCATTACCCTCCCCCTCCTCGATCACACTTAAACAATACTCCTTTAAAAGAAACTTATTTATTTTTATAATATTTAAATCTATGTCGATCATTAGAATTTAGAACATTAACATAACTAAACATGGACAATTTTTAGTACCTACATATTAATTTGATGCTATATATTACTTAAATATTACTGTTCAATAATTGCAGTTATTGATCAATTTTCTATTCTCAAATGCCTATATAGGTACCTATGTATTAAGTTAAACAGTATGTTTACTTTTCCATATAATTAAGACTACCTACGTGTTGCTATGTGATCGCTGTAGATCACGTACATCATAACCAGTGATACATGAACACTATACTTGGTTCAAATAACCCATATTAGGGTTTAAATTGGTGAATTAGTCATCGTATTATGGAATATCGTATAAAAAAAAGTATGTACAAATTATACAAGTTACTGTGTGGTCAATCGTTTAATATAGCATAAAAAAAATATATTTACTTACTATGCGGATGGTGGATATCAATTACCTCTATAGTAGTTAGAACATTTTGATATAACTAGTATAATAAAAAAAATACATCGATATATGGCTATATTATCTATATATATATATTATATACTAATAAAATTGTCTACGTTACAATGTTGAATGAAACAAGTTTTATTTTTGGCGAAGCATTTAAATTATAAATTATTATTATTTTGATTGTTTTATGGTCATGGTTTAAATATATTAGTAATATAAATTATCTTTATAGACCATCAATTGATACTATCAGTTTCTATAAGTTGTCTTAACTAATTATATAATTATAATAGGTATAGTGTGTACAATTTAAGAACATACCGATTAATCTTTTTATTGATAATTAATTATTATTAACAAAGATTATTTCTTTCTCAAATCAATTTAAATTAATAGTATGCCTACAACAATTCGCAATTCATGTACCATATATTATTTTGTTCCTAAATAATCTAAGAAAAAAAAAAATTTCCAGATCACCATAATTTTTATTAATCCCTACCGCAAGTTAATGCAGTAATTAAAAATTATAATAATATTATGTACCTAAAGTTTTGATTACGATTTCCATAACTTACTATTATATTGGAAGTCCGAAGTATATATTTTGTTATTATTACCCAAGATGGTTGGGTTAGGTTAGGCACTAGTCGATTGTCCGAATACAGAGGAATGCGATTTTAGTGATTTAAACAGTGAACAAATCCGATGCAAAACGTTTCGCAGACTTCCGTTTGACATTTTTGAAGCGAGTGCCGAGCCGAGTGATCTGAATAACAATAATATGGCCACCGCTTTTCGGGCGACTTTGACATTTTGTGACCCAAAAATCCGGTTATGATAGATGAAGAGGGGAAGGCAGCGTGCGTCATCGAATTTTTTTTTGTCCGTCCGCCTCCTCCGACCATCCTTGTAGAATTTTTTCCACATAAAACGTACATGCTACAGATAGATTTTTACTGCGACGAATTTCCAAATAAGTCGAAACCGGTCGTCCCGCAGGAATCCCGACCGTATTGCAACAATGGCTTTTATTGGCTAAGACAGGTTCTCTCTGTGCTCACTATAATATACGAGCGGTCATTTCACCTGCGAAGTATTTTTATTATGTTATATGTGTGTGTGTGTGTGTGTATATGATCGTGTGTGCTAGCACTAGAGCTCGCGCGCGCGTTTTTATTTTTTTATAATACCCCGCTATAACAAAACGCGCCGCCGTCGCCGCCGCCGCCACTCCGAAGTCGGATATATATATTTTTATGTGTATAAATGGAAATCATAAAAAATGAAAATAAAAAAAAATAAACAGCGCTTGCCGAGAGACAAATAAACAACCGCAGCAGCAATCGATTATAAATTGTGGCAATTTACCACCGCAAAAGTATTATTATCATGCGTGTACGATGCGATTGCATCGAAGACGACAACGGTACTTGATATACAAGATAACGAACGGACCTATACAAATAAGAGTGCACGTCTTATAATGTATATGAATAATAATATTGTGCGGTGCGTATTGAGGAACAGAATCGCGAAATTTCTTCCGTTTAAAATGATATAATATTATTTCTGTTTATTTTATAGCTAAAGTACCTACTCACAATGTATTTATTCCCTATCGTATTATATAAACAATTGCGATTGTGAAAAGCGTAGTGTATGAATATATTATTTCATCAATTGCTTTTCATAAAAGTCATCTACGATCAGGCGATACTCTGTTGTTAAATCAAAGCCATATTATAGTAGCCCACATAACGGTCGTCATTAGACAATATTTTTTGAGAAAATTAATTGCGGTTATATATTTTAATATCTATTCTATATTTGCAGCTATTGTACGTCATATCTATGTCTGCTGCGGCACCATCGGTGCCTACCCTACAATATATTATAAACTTATCGTAATAGAAGCGACAAATTTGAACAATGCAAAATATACCATAATCATATTCTATAATAATATTAATCAAATCAAAATCATAATATTATGAACTGTATTATGGTCCAAGAGTTACTCAGAAACTATTTTCAAGTCGTAAAAACTTGCAAGGCTTGAGGATATCAAAATAAAATTTTACATTTCGCTTTTTGATATGAGTTTTTACTAATTTCAATTTAAAAAAGAATATTGCTTTTACAATTGTATGGTTTTTATATTGTTGCATATTATCGATTTAATTGTTTCCGGATTTGCAATTAAATTTTAATCATAATTTTTCTTTATGTAGTTAAGTACATCTGTGAAACGGGCCATGAAAATGAATATTAAAATTACTTATTAGTCACCTATTCATATATATATATACTGTAAAAATACATACAATACTTTATACTTATTACCTAACGATGAACAATATTATAAATCTGATGGTTAATGTTGAATATTAAATTGAATTACTTACTTTTAGTTTACAATTTTAAAACATTTTGTGTACCTACCTATAAAGATTATAAAATTATTAATAATTCGACTCAAATTATGTATTTTAATTATTTTCGATTTCAATATACATCTTGAAAAGCATTAAAAAAATTTTGATTTTGATATTACTTTTGATTTCTTTAAAGATTTTTTATCGATTTTTTATCGATTTCAATCCCTGGAAACCATTGAATCATCAAATAGAAAACATGTTCTCATAGGAGTAAAAAAATCATCTCTTCCATTCATAGTGTTTTTGCGGAGCCATTAACGGTTATTTATAGCCGGTCTCAGTGGTTTTTAAAACTAACAGGTTCTTGCTTCGGGGAGGGGGGAAAGAAACACTATACGGTAATGTCAAATTACTATAACGCCCCGACACACGATGGAAGGACGATAATTAATTTTTTTTATAAGTTGCAGTTATAATTTTTTTAAACACTTTTTACGAAATGATACGTATAATTAGAGGAAGGTCTAGCAATTGGTGTTACAGTTTTTTTGAATCGTGGCCAGAAAAGAGCACGATTTGATGGGTGTTGAGGGAGTGAGGGGTATAGGGACAAAAAAACATTTGAAGATCTAGATTAAATAACCCGTCACTGTCAGAGCTCTAATTAAAAGAGATGTAAAAAAAACATGTTTGTTATACATACATAACTTTTACTGCTCAAGTGATGTGTATACTCTAAAAGAAAATAATGAACATTATTAAATATTAGTGAATTCTGTCAATCAATGGTGTATGAATTACAAAACGTCGACTATTGTTTATACGCGATTATAATATTATTTTTGTTCACTGTTATAGTGTGTAATATATTATTATCTATATTCTATACCTACATATTATAATGCTATTATAAAAATATACATTTTGTTTTAATATTTTTTGCGTAGGTTTCGAAAAATGGCAAACCATGTTTGAATGTAATTAACAATTTACACGGTCGTTCTCTCAAATTCAATCGATAGCGATATTTTTTCAATGGTTTCCGCATAAAGTTAAATAATTTTGAGTGTTGGACATAGCTTTTTTTATACTAAGCAATTCAAATTTTGGAATCAAGCCATTCCGACTAAACCGTTATACTTGATTAAATAGGTACTAACAACTCAAACAAATTGATGAGTAAATCGAGTATTATAGAATGCACTTTTCTAGTTTAAATATAAACACTTAAGTTTAATCAACTTCAACGTCGTGACAAGTGTTCGTACTCATTACGAAAATTGGCAATTACAACAAGATTGTCTCTTTTAATAGTCACTAGTTTACCTAAAATTTCCAAGAACAAAACATTTTACACACCGAAAAACTATACTTGCCATGTGTTTGAGCCAAATCGTCTGAACAAGGGTGTTCAACCTTTTGGGATTCCTGGGACACACAACGCGAGGAAAAGTTGTCTCTGGCCGATTTTCCATATGGCACATAAGAGAAAAAAGCAATAAAATAATATATTATCCTATTTCAATAGAACATTTATTTATTAATTGTAATTACTAGACCTACGTAACGTAGGTAGGCTAGGTATAGTAAATTATAAGTATAGTAATAACTAATAATATAATATATAGTATATACGTTTACATATAAGTATTATTTTCGATATGTTTAGTTCTATATAAGCACTCAGTACAGAATTTTTTTCTCATAATCAAAATTTATATAGGTACTATAGTGATAAATGTTTTTAAAATTGACACGTTGAGTAGTCTTGAGTTGGAAACTTGGAAACCTCTGGTCCATCGGCCTCATGCTCGAGGAATCCGTCCCGAATTATTAGTAAAATATCAAACTAAAACCGAAACTTTACCATATTAAAGAAAGCGTAACGTAATATCAACTGTACATTATTGACCCGTTACGTATGTTCATTTCACAGGTCATGTTCTGTAGGTGGATATGCTGAAGGATATTCACAGTCCAGGATTGGCAGCCGATCCGGAGGACGGCAGCAACGGAGCTTGTTGCGCCGGTTGCGGTAGATCGATAGACGACCGTTTCTACCTGTCCGCGGTGGACATGTGTTGGCACATTGGGTGTTTGCAATGTGCCGAATGTAAACTGCCACTGGACACAGAACTAACGTGTTATTCGAGGCACGGCAACATCTATTGCAAACAAGACTATTACAGGTATTATTTTGAATTATTTACTATAGTTCTGTCCAAACAAACAAACTAGGCTAGGACAAATACAAATAACATATTGTAATTGCATACCAGTTCAAAAATAATAAATTTGTTCAAGACTATAATATACATTTGGGGGGGGGGGCGAGCGGACTAAGGCGTCGGTTGCGACGCACAACGATGCTGGTTCGATACCTCGGCTATGGGCGGCATTTTTCTTCGGGAAAGTCACGGTGTCCGGCGAATAAGTGCCGCCATCCCGCACCCGGGCATGGCAGATACCTACGGGTGCCCAAATCAAAAATTCTGCCAAAAACAAACACACGTGTGTTCTAACCTACAATATTTCCTCCCCTACAAACAAAAAAACAGACAGCTAATGGCCATAGTTGCCGGGCTCCACGATCAATAAAAAAAAAAAATATATATATACATTGTATATATTATATAGTGGGATAGACGAAGACTTTGGACGTAAATGCCTGAAACGCATTACGTTCAAAACGATTTTCAGTCATAACTATATATACACAACTTCTGAATGCAATTACGTGTGGGGAGACTTTGTTCAACAGCAACGCGAACACCCTAATTTACTAGCACGATGACTGCGGGTTCCGGTTGAATTCTGACCTCCGGTGTTCAGGGAGGACAAATAACCCAGTAATTATTTACTTATAGAAATATGGTAAACCACAGTAACAAAGCAGATCTAATTTAAGACCAAAGAATAGTTTTTGCTTTTCGTCGTGGTACAAAAACGTAGAGGTATATACATTATATTATACGTTTTTGGAATCTCAACAATAGTGTATATAAAATAAGCATTTTTTTTCTATAGATTATAAACCACTCACAACCGCATTAATCGTATCGGTATGAGTGCAATGAACATTATTTCAGAACAAACCAATTCTACGGATTTATTTTAAGCCAATAACATGGAATCGGATTTTCCGTCAATATGTTTTGAATGATTGTAGTACGCACGTGCGTATCACGTTTGAGTTGATGAAGTGCAAGGATTAAATAATAATACAACTGGGGGGAGAGGATAGGTACTGCAGCAAAGCCTGTTGAAGTGATTTGTGAGAGTGTATGAAAAAGTCGCCCCTTTGTCGTGATAAAATATTTCAGGATTTCATATTTTTCGTATAGGTAATACTGAGAGTAATAATTTTGTTTATACAATTCGTGCCTAGTGATGACGAGATGAGACGTATCGCGGGTCGACAAAAATCGCGGTTTCCGAGACCTTTAAACACGTCCATATTAATAATTAATAATCGTCATCGCTATATTATATACGTCACGATAATAATAATATTAAAATACGGTGGCACTGCCACGTCGAGTTTGGACTGCGTTTTGAGATCGGCTCCGTCTGCCGACTGTCGGTCACGTTCCGCCCCTCTAACGATCGACTGGCAGGCAGGCTTCGACATACAATATAATAATATGATATTGTGTGCACACGGTAATAACGAGACCGACTTGAGGGTTGTTCACTCGTGAACCGCACGCCGTTTGGGCGGACACAAAACATCTGTACCGACGATAATATTGCGGCGGCGGTGGTGGTGGATCGAGTCTACCTGCCGCGTGCTTAATCCCTTTGTAGAGCCGCTTTCATAGGGTACGGGGCCGACCTATATTATGTATATTATTATACGGCGGGGCACCCGGAGAGACGTGCACGTGCAGTCTCTTGTTGTACATATAATATTAAAATCATTGTTTCCGCGACGACGATCCCGAATTAATATTATATTATAATACATTATACCTACGATTTATACTAGTATAATATATACTATATTATTATCTACGGCTTTAAATTAATATAATGGTCGGACGTTATCTGAAGTGCCTAGCTGGTGTTTTCGGACGTCTCCCGCCGGTTTTCCAGGTGCCCGTTGTCGCCGCGGTGTCGTGTACAACTCGTGTAATCGTGTACCTATATATATATGATATAATATTATATACTTGTGCCATCGTCGTCGTTGGTCGGCCACGCGTCTCCTAATCAAAATCCGATCGCTGATTTTTGACTAGATAATCTCCTCCTCTGCAATACCGCAGCACAGGGCGAGTGTTGTAAAATTCCCTATTTTTTTTTTTGCACGTGTCCAACCTCCGAGCCACAATGTGTTTACCAGAGTGTACCATTCACCGCATTTGCGGTAGATCTGTAGGTTGTATAATGACGTTTACTAGCTGAGGCCGTCCGCTTCAAATTATAATATTTATGACTGTGGTGAGGTGGTATTCATGCTATAGGTACGGTGCAAAATTGACAACATGTTAACCTACTGAGTAGGTACTTTAATATGTATTATATATACACCGCGAAAAATATATAGGTACACAGATAAACCTGCTAGTACAAAGTTTCTTGCTAAAGTATGCAAAACAGTTGTTTTTAGATTTTCAAATGTTTATAATATTGTTTTAGGATTTTGTTTTATCGTTCATCATACGCAAATGACAAATTCTTTGAATGTTAACTATTTTTTAAATATAAATAAAAAATTCACAAAATCCGAAATTATATATCCTAACATGTGGACAATAGACATATTATATGTGTTTTATTGTGTTTAACCATCGATATTCCCATTCAAGCTGATTCGGAATGAAAAACTCGCAACCGTTTTTAACATCTCGAAACTTAAATATTTAACGATGTATTAAATACCTTGTCCAGTTGTCCCTATAGATAAAATTAATAATCAAAAAAAAATTGTATCAAATAATAAGAGTATTTATTAAGTTATCCTTACTTATTTATCTAAACTTGGTGCTACTACAAAAGAGAAAAATATGTTACTTAACATATTTTTACAATGATATTATACGAATTCGGAATCAGGCGCTCTGTGAACTAATTGAATCTAGTCGGTGTTGGTCACACATAGCTATCTCTACTCTGGTACTGAACAAAATATAACGAAGTAATGATGTATAGTTAAACAAGAATTTGCCAACTGTGATCTCTTATAATAGGGGATGGAGACTCCCATTCCTCCTGTAGGGGAGAAAAAAGTTTCGTCTCACCGTTTTGATTTTTACAATTATATTATTATATACATCGAGGTATGCAGTAATAAGCACAAAGCGCCCACATGTGCTAAGTGCGCATCTATATGCATTGTTCGGTGATCACAGTTCTGCAAACTGTATATTATGCAATAACAAATGTTTAAAACTCGTTAATTTTCAAATATATTTTTAAAAAACAGTTTAACTTCTTGCGAGCAAAATGCACATAAAAAACCAATATATCCTAAAAAATATGAGTGCCACTCTTAACCGCGTCGCACATCATATACGATACGCGTTTCTATACATATATACTCGTGTCGATAACTGCGCTCTGCAATGTGGACGACGAATAATAATAAATGATATAATGATAATAAACCGTACTTTCTAAAATATACCCACACGCCTTTTCTTCGACAGGCTGTTCTCGATAAAACGCTGCGCCCGGTGTCAGGGCGGTATCGGCGCTTGCGACCTGGTGATGAGGGCCAAGGACCTCGTGTACCACGTGGAGTGTTTCGCGTGTTACGCTTGCGGCGCGGTCCTGTGCAAAGGCGACTATTACGGCGTGCGGGACGGCGCCGTTTTCTGCCGGCCGGACTACGAGCGGCTCAAGCACAGGGACATGGCGTGCGATCTGGAGCCGATGTGCAGCCCTCCAAGGGCGGCCGGCCACCACTGGCCGTCGGCGCACAAGGGCCGGCCGCGGAAGAAGAGGAACGTCCAGCTGCTGTCGTCGCCCATGACGACGGCCGATTGCAACGGGCTCACCGAGCTCAACGTGCTCAGGATACCGCAGTCGACATTGGGTGAGTAGTATACCTATTACCGTATACCAATATACCGCCATAATATTGTCGGACGTTGCCATACCGATAAGTTTCGCTCAAAAAAAAAATATTCAGTGCCTATTTGCGTGTGCAAACGATAAATTGGGTCATGACGGGTTGTCATATTATAATATATTAATATGATACGTAATATAATAATATATTATTGTGTATATTATATGCGAAATTACTATGTTTGGAACGACTAATATATGTGTGTCCGCTGCTAGTATTATATATTGGTTGGTCCCAAATTACAATTTGTGAATTTTTTTATTCATGTGATGACGTATAAAATATAATATTTGATAAGCTTTGATGTTTTTTCCTAGGGCTGTGACAATAATTTATCATTATCAGTTATGAACTTGTGGGGTATCCGCTAATTTTTTAATAAATATGTATATGGATGGATAGCAACGTAATTATATGTTAAAATTATTTAAACATAATTAAACAACGTACAGCCGAACAGGTGAAAACCATAATATTATGTATATGATCATTTCTATTTAAATAAAAAACAGAAAAGCCATCCCCATGTATTTATAATATGTGCTGTACAAAAATAAAGGTAATACAAAAAAGTATGCCCCGCCCATGCTTTATGACCTTCAAATAATTAGCAAAATATTGGTTTAATATTAAATAAGTTTGATATTATAATTTATGTGATTATTGGATACTAAATTTAAATTTGAGAAAGGTACGATAGTCATTCGGTGAGTTTAAAACAATCAAGTTTAATGAACTAATGTTATATTTAAAGTCTAATTTTTGGAAACAGTGAACTACTATGTTCTGTTCCATATGCTCTGTGTCTATCTTACAACTGAGAAGAGTATAAAAATAAAGCAATTGTTATTTTAAGAGGGAAATAATTAATTGGTTAAAGTAATCTTAAATCTTAATACTCCGTCTACAATTTAGTAGCTATACATCAAAATAATTATAAAATGTTAAGGTTTACAAAAACTTAAGAATTAGGTATTCTCAAATTATTACTGTTATTAGGAATATTCTCCAATCCAATAGTATAATATGTAATATGCTTTTTTATGGAAAATAAATGTTTTAATTCTATTACACATGTATGAATCGTAAAGATATAATTACGTCCTGTAATTTCAACCGCATATGCTATAAACAAATAATGTATGCGAAATTCGGACCTCTAATAATTGTAAGGTATTACAAATACCGTTTATGTGGTCATCGTTCATATTGGACCCACATGGGAGTATCGTTCAAACTTTTTAAAGTTTGGGTTAAAAAAATAGCACTATAAAGTACCAAATATATTATTGTTAATAATACAGACCCGATTCAATATTTGAGATCATTAGAATCTGTTATGTCATTATTTGTAGAATGTAGATAATGCAGAAAAACAAAATCATTTTTAGACAGAAAAAATTAATTGTTGAACTACTTTATCATATATAAGTGATTAGAGTTGCAAAAAAATAATAAGTGTACGCAAATAAAGATAGTATACTTAATCAGAGGATAAAACTATTTATAATTATCATTTATCAGACAGTATATAATAATTGTAGTTTAATATACATTTAAGATTAAATATCAAAATTCAAGCACATAAATTGCCAATCATAAATACATTACGAATAATAAATGCTTAAACATACGACCGTTATGAATATTGATGACATAAAATGAGACAAATTATTAAATACGATCGTGTTAAACGTATTAATTTAAATATTACTTTATAAACGCATTGAATAAATTCTACTTTGGTGGGCAGACCAACAGGTGAAGTATACATTAGGCAAAAAACATAATTTTAATAGAGGTTTTATACATGTAAAATGTTCAATGCTAAACACGTTTTTATAGAATTTACTGATTTTATATCTTGTTTACTGTAAACCCATCTATATCACTAATCTCCGTCTGGCTCGTAACAGTCGCAGCACAAATAATTTAAATATTATTGAGTCTCTAGCTTTCCGATTTTTTGGTCCAATTAGTGTTATTTTTTTCTATTATTTATATAATATAATGCAGTATAAAAAAACACACATTTTTGTTGAAGTTATTTGTATATTTATTTAAGTTATGGTTATGAATTATGATTAATGGTATTTTACTGCAATCGTTAAATTAAAAAAAAATATAAGTAAATTAAATTAATTTAGATTTTATATTTATGTGCAATGTTACAAAATTTAAAATATAACGTGTAGGTAGGTAGGTACAAACAAATGGCAAGTTATTACGTGAAGGTTAACTGAACACCCGAGTACTATTAACTTTTTTATTTAATATTTCATATAAGTAAGTCCCTGACATTAGTTATTATCACGTATGTTGTTTTATTTGAAAATTGTCCAAAACTCTGCAAAAGTCAAAATATGACGTTTTGCCCGATTTCGACTTTTATCCTTAACATATACGAAAGGCAGTTGGTGGAAGAGACCTTCGAGGAACGTATACAAAAGCTGATCACTAAGTATCAAAAATTTATCAAACGATCCAGTGATTAAGTTGAAAAATATTTTTATAATTATATAGTTGGGAATACATTTTGTAAAATAATAATAAAAACTCGATTTTTTTTTAAGAAAAAAAAACAGGCATTATTTTTCGAATAACCCTCGTTGGTAGTATTCATTTTTAATGTTCCATAAATTAATTTGTAACATGACATAAAAAAACAGTTATTGAGAAAGTTGTGGCAAAATATTCTGAATGGAAATCGCCATGAGGATTATAGTTTATCATACATATTATATTATATTATATTGGAATTTTATAGCGTGGTTAAGTAAATAAGTAATTAACTCTGCGGAGATTCGTATTATATTGCTAATTTAATCTTGTGTTATAAACACTATATAGGTATTATGTACAAAATATATATCATCTGAACTGTAATAAATTAATAGTATGGAACGGGGAAAAAAAAAACTATAATTTGTTAGTAGCTAATTGAAAATCGACGCGACTCGCGTACATATAACAGCGGTATATATTGGAGTTCGTGGAACGCTCTGCAGACGAGGTGACGAACAAAATGGTGACTGGGGCGGGGAGATGAGGAAGAAGAATATTTTTTTTTCTTTTACTTTTTACCTACATCGGCGTACGCATATACATGTAAAATATATTATATAAATACGTGAGGCGATATAAATCACGTAGCGTTCGGAAATAAATTTAACTCGCGTCCGGTGGCAAAGACGTATTGGCCTTCTGCGAAGAGCGCTCGAGAGCTCACTATAGTTCGCACTCCTCCGTATAGTTCGAACCAGTACCTACCTACCGCCTATACAGAGCGATTCACTGAGCATGCTCAACACCCCATTTTTTTCCTTTAATTCAAATCGTGATTTTTCGGATTTTTAAACTATATCTACACTTAAAGATCGCATAATATATTATTAATACTCGTATTTCCAAATAGAGATTTTTATGTCGTCATTTACGAAATGTTCAAACTTTTTTTTTTCAAAACAGAACAGCGCTTTTTCACTGTAAATCATTAAGTATACAATATTTTTGGAAACTTCGAACAAGTGCGGGGGCGTGGTTATACGCATAATGTGTAATATTAAGCCAAGGACTATTAAATTACTTAAAAATTGTATGCACATTATTATGAAACGACTATTTTTAGTGCGTCAAGTTTCATATCACAGATATTACTCATACTTAAAATTTCAATTTAGATGTTAATGATAAAGCGTGATACAAATGTAAAAAAAAATTTACCCTCTGAACAGTTTACAACGAAAAAAAGAGTACATTGCATTTGAAAAAAGTTACATATTATTTGTATCACCACAATCCTTCAATGCCGTAAAAAATCTAAGTATCTTACAATAAATTCCAAAAAATTAAAAATCTTATAGACGATAGCGAAGTTGCAGAGCATTATACAATATATTATTATCAATATTACCTATGCTTGTTGATTACGTGACGACGGTATATGACGTATAGGTGACGGTCTGTCATCGGCAAACGAAGAGTAACTTTTGTGCACCTACATAATATTAGTATAATACGACTTTTTTTTTCTGATCTCATTTTGGCGCTTATGTCTTCCACCGAATATTATATTATACTGTTTATATAATATCGTGTATGTGCGCGTTTGTGTGTGGCGTCGACGCAGGCGATAAATACGTATATATATAATAATATAGTGAATAACCGAACACTATATATAAAAATACATACAATATATACAGTCGCAGCACACACGTACTGCAATACTATATATTATACTTATTTTTATTGGATATGGTGCCACCATGATATATATTATGGTATATATATATATATATATTGTACCGGAGGGATGGTGTGTCGTATAATAATAATATATTATCGACGAGAGACTGGAAGCGAAGATTGTACGTTTTTTATTTCTTTTTCATCTCTTCATCTCTCTCTCTCTCTCTGAATATATATATATATATATACAAACACATACCCGGTGGCTTTAAGATAGAAACCGTGTCGTCGTCCCCAAGACGATTTATATGCAAGCCCGCTCACACACACACACACGTGCACGCACACAAACGCGTCCGTTTTTATTTTATTTTACTCGGTCGTCGAGCGCGTAGGAGCAGCAAAAACTTCTTCTTTACACTCCCGGGGACCCGAGACGACGTCGACGATATTATAATAATATACGGTTTTACACGGAGCGCGTGTTGTCGCACCTCTAATTGGACGCCGCCGGAGGCCACCCAGAGGACGATCGCCACCGCGAGCACCCGGTAGCAAAAGCGCTACCCCGCGTGTGAGTATTCTTAGCACACACATATTATACGGTCTTATCGGCACGTCCTCGTAATAATAATAATAATATATTTCATCCCCCGCCACCGCCGATTCCTATTCGAAATGTTTATTATCATATAATATTATATATATATATATATATATTGTGTTATATATTATGTGTATAGGAACCGTTCGGCGTTCGGTGTCAACGAAAATGAACCCTTTCGACGGGTCCCAATTAAAATTTAATATAGTACTACTGCGGGGGCTTCCGCGGGAATGTATAATATTGTAGGTACCTATAAATATATACATATATAGGAGTTATAGTGGTACACACACGTATATATTTTATTACTGAATAGAAACACTACGATTCGTGTATTATCTGTATAATATTATGTAGCAGCACTGTACTATATATAGGTATATATATATTAGACATTTACACTATCAGTGACTTAATCGAATCGAGGCAAACGTCCACAAAAGTAATTCTGTATACAAAATTTAAAATAGGTACGAAGACTTACGGGGTGGGTCGACGTGTATTCCTGTTTTTATGTGTTTAATAATAATAGGTGGCCTGCACCCTCCTGTATAACATAGGTGCCTTTACTCAATATAATAATATTATGCGTACATTATAATACCGTAGTAACGTTAACCGTCGAAACGATAATACATTAATCGAACATTTTCGTGTGGGATCCGAATTATTGCCACAGACCACATCTAATGTGTTTTTAGCGACCGTGTATAGTTGTACATAAAGGTTATAACAGGAAAACGTTAAAAAATCAAGTAAATTTTTTATTTCGTAACGTGCGCAATCAATAACTCTGTTTTCCCGGAATATTAAATTTCGTTTGTTCGTTTATATATAGATAGGTATATCCGTATATACCTATAATATTATATTGTATTGCATATTATCCTACAGAGCTGTATTTTATTATTTACTATAATATATCATGTGCCTACGATAAACTGAAATTTAATAAATACGATTATAGCATATAACCAATTAATATCATATATTTTTTTAAATATGACGTGAAATATATATTAATATAAGTGTTAAAGTGTGATTGCAACTATAGATCACGACTTGTATGCACAAAAATACTAGTCAAATATTTATAAGAAAATAAACACTTATGAGTTAGGCATGTGCATTAAATATTCTCAAATATAGGTAAGTACTGTAAAGTATTATGCACAAAAAAATGTATTGTAGGATCTACTACTATTAGGTACCTGTAGTCTATAAATTATATAGGGCAAAATTGAACAATATTTGTGGTGGCCACTAAAATTACCCATAATCCATATCCATGACACATAATTCACTTGGTAGATTGCCATAATTTAAATATTATTTATTGACCATAAAGATATGGTCTATACGACATACTCATAATTGAATTATACACTATTTAAGTTTTGTTTACAAAAAATACTTGACAAAGTGCCTAGGGTATTTCTAAATAACTATACGAATATATGTACCAAAACATGGAAGTATGCCCCTAATATCAAAAATGTCCTCGAAGAACCCAAAAATATCAAAATATGCAAATATATTCATTATATAATTTTGGCTATTTCATATTTTCATATTATATAGACATCGTTTAAGACGTCATAGACAATCGTGTTTTTCACTTATACTTGGCAAACAATAAGATCAACTAGAAAAAATGCTCAAATACATGAAAGTCCTTGTATTATTTATAACTATATCAACACTTTTTAGTAAAATAAAAAACATAACCGTACATACATACATACATACAACTCGTATAAACCATATTCTACAAACGTTCCTATTTTTTTTATTTTTTTTCAATTTAAACCTTGTATAACAATTAGTCTCAACAATTTCAATATTAAATGTTAAATAAAAGTAATGAGTAAAAGTTGTAAAATATAATGTGTTTAATTATCGTGGGACTTGGTTGGTTATATTAATTATGTAATAGGTATACATATAAGTATGTATATAGTACCTATACTTCCTCTGATTTGTCATTTGAATGTATTAATAATTAATCATGTGTGGACAGTGATAATAATTTGTTGATTTTATGTACAGTTTTAACAACCTTGAAGTTCCCTTCATATAACAGATTTTCAAAATTCAGATACAGTTGAACACTGTAATATCCTATACTTGCTTCATATAAAAAAAGTTTATAATGTACATATATATATATTATGAGTATTCAATGTACCTACCTACATATATATAGTTTATATAGGAACAAACTATACATACAACAAACCAGGCATGTGTGCTTATAACTATACAAATTTGTACATAAAAAAAACCTTTGAACCGTTTTTCAACCGAATAGATCCGATTCGGCCGTTCAAACTTGTGCATATACATGTATATACACACTTTGGCTAAGTCCGACAACAATAACAATGGAGGCGACGTATATAAATTATATACACGAACGAAAGTACGATGTGGGGCTGTCGACGAGCGAGTTGACATAAAAACACCACCTCCAAACGATTTCCATTCGTCGTTGGTGGATATAACGAGATGTCATTGAAATAAAAAAATATACCAATTCTAAACATTTCTCCCCCCCTCTCGTTTCCCTTTCGCTGTCACTATTACTACCCTTGTTTCTTTTCTTTCGCTCTCCGCTCTCTCGCACTCACTCTTTCTTTTTTTTATTCCGTATATTTCCAGACCCGAACACGTCGTCAATAGTAGTTGTGCCCATTAACCTCGGCCACTGTTTGTGTCGAACAAATGTTTTCTTTCCCAAGCACACTTCTTATGTGCATTGTTTATTTTGGATTATTTCGCCGATGTGGGGCACCTGTCCGTCATTCGTCACTAAAGTGTACACACACACACACACACACGCATATAAGCGGGGACAACACACGCGTTTTATTTCCGTACGATAATTCGAAAAAACTGTATGCCTACATGTATGATATGTTATATAATGTACATTATATACATATTATATGTTAACGAAAAGAGAACAAGCGCGTATAGAGAGAGCGTGTGAGTGAGACCGAGAGAGTGGCGAGGGGGTAGTTGTAAATACAAAAAGAGACGGTAATAATCGACAGAGAGAGAGAGAAAAAGTATATATGACGTATATACTTTCTGCAAACAATGGACGCCCCCGTGCCATCCAGATGTCGATACTTGTGGAGAAAGGGGATATAGGTTCCTGTAGCAAGTCCTGCGCGACCATGTGCGGTGGTTAAATGACGTTTCCTGCAGCAGCTTCTAGCCTTCTAGTGCACTAGTACACCTAATAAGGAATAAATTACTGACCGTAAGTCAGTTTTTTTCTTTATATGTATATATTTTTTTAAGACTATAATAGCGGATATAATACGAACACATGCGTATATGCATACCTTTACACATAAAATATAATATATTATATTATTATCTATACGACGTGCGCGTACAGTGCACTGTATACTCTATTCGTGCCAATTCGTTTATTTTAACGGTGGATTTTGGATCTCAATGTACACGCGTCGCTTGATTAAATTATATAAAATACTCAAGCTCATTATCATAAATTCGACTATGGACTTAATTAGCCCGCCGTCAAAATAATTATGTATAAAGTATAATACAAGGTGCATTTTCATATTTTATATATTGTATGAGAAAAAAAACATGGGTAGGTATTCAAGTAATAATTATATTATACAGTTTTTTTTTTTTTACACGGGATTATGTAGTTTTACCTTTGGTTTTACAATTATAAACAATTATCGCCAACAATGTGCAGTACTTATTTAATAGAACAATAATTATGCGAATCGGTTTTTTTTTTTTTTTTAAATAGTAAAAGGGACGGTGATAAAATCGGTTTTAATATTATTTTTAACAATTATTGTCTGATGTAATATAATATATAATAAAAAAAGAAGACAGGGATAGGTACCATTTACATATAAGATTTAATTTTTCACTCATATTTTCAAATCCGAAACTGAATGTTTAACAATATTTGAAATGGACACTGTAATTTATTATTGTACATTATTATAATTCGTTGATTATTTAATAACACGGCATTTGCTTTGCAGAAGTCATGCAGGCCACAGACTTATCTTCTTCGATGGAATCGCTGACTTACGAAACGTCCAGCTTGTCCTCGCCCACAAATTCTTCGACGATGGGCACGACCGGTGGCATGTCGCAGCAGCAACATCAGCAAACGCGGACGAAGCGCATGCGAACGTCGTTCAAACACCACCAGCTGCGTACAATGAAGTCGTACTTCAACATCAACCAAAACCCAGACGCCAAGGACTTGAAACAGCTGGCTCAAAAGACTGGACTGTCCAAACGAGTGTTACAGGTAAGACGGCTCGTCGGATTATGTTAATATTACAGTAATATAAGTAGGCACTGTATATAAACTGTGAGCATTACGACGCGTCTCTATCGTACATAGGTTTGGTTTCAAAACGCTCGAGCAAAGTGGAGAAGAAACATCATGAGGCAAGAGAACAACCAAATGGTTACCAGTTCCATGTCGAACCAGAACCAGACTACGCCGTCCGACCCCGATCTGATCAGGGGACACACCCAGACCTCGCAGGGTTTAAACTTTGTCGATCTCTTTTGATATCACACGTAAGTCGTAGCTATGTTAATATTATAATATCACCACCCTCATCGTTACAGTACATAGTTCCTCTATATCGCCGTCGGTCAGTTCAAGCAACATATTAGACGTAATCGAAGTTAAACGTAATGAAAACATTCAACCCTTCCCTATACATACCATTTTCTTCTGAAACCCAATAGATAAAATCCTGCTGACGATACATATAATATGGCCGTGTCCTACTACGTACGGGTGTGTGTTGCAACTTACAATTGATCGTATCTACAAGCATATATATATATATATATATATATATATGTATATGCGAATGATAAATCAATACAATATAATATTATAATATTACAATATTCTTACCAAATAATTTGTGACGCGTTATATAATATAGGTACCTTACTATAATACGCGACCACCTGTAAATTGTAATTAATATACAATATGTTTAACTGCTTAAGTGATTATAAGTATAAGAAAGAGAAAACAATTGTTCCTTAACTTAATGTATTATCATTACACTCTTTGTTATATATATACAATATATGTAGGTATATCGTATATGTATGTATGTACTTATGTATGTATGTATATTATGTATGTATGTATGTTTAATTTGTAATCCGTACATTGTAACATATTATTATTAATTAAGTTTAGTACGTATAATATATTATTATATGTTAAACACGCGTGTTATTTGAGCTGCCTATATTTGCGTGCGGCGTATACTCAAAGGTCGCTAAACACTCGCAATTAATCGTTTATGTTTTCTTTTGTGCTTGAATAAAAAAACTAAATGGCCGGCCTAATTGGTAATTACTAATTAGTATATACGACTTGTAAAAAATTGAGTATACACCGCACGGCAAAGACTGGCAACGATAATACGTACGCGTACCTATACACGCCTTGGCTGAGAAGTTATTAAAAAAACCCTGTCACCTCGCCGTATAATCCTTTTTTTTTTTTCTAAACAAATCTAATAATTTAAACATAATATTTATTTTCATAATGTCGTGTATCAAACGGTAACACCAGAAATCATTAACTATAATCGTGTACAAACAAATTCGAGCCACTTTATATTGCGAAAACGGGCTAAATATACCATAGGTAAAATAATGAATTTAAATATTTATGCCGTCAATTTAACGAGCATGAATTCAATAGATGCTTGTACTTCGTATAATATAATATAATATGGAAAGGTAAACAACCGTCACTTGTCGATAATTTCAGAAATAAGAAAACGGTTATACCTATACATTATTTTCGGAATAAAGTTCAACAAATTCAAACAAAAGTTATAAAAATTATAAATTAAAAATATTTTAAGCGATTTTTGTGATGTGTAATACTATTATTATTACATTGTACAATCATCAAACTATTATTTCCGGTTTGAAATAATAATAATTAAATACCATAATATATAATCGTAATCAGTCTACGAGAACCGCTAGTGCGTTTTTATTAACCTCGTTTTCATGAATTTTTATTTGTTAGTGTATTGACCAAGCGTATAGTAGGTTGGTACAACATTAAAAATAATTGAAAATTGTAATTTTTCGTGTAACCCAAAAAAAAAGAAATATTTAGTTATGTGAAAAATATAGCTTCAAAGCCAAAGGTACCGTAATATAAACTATTTATGTATATTATAATATAAGAGGAAGACGATTGTTATAAATAAATTACTGTTATTGTTTCGGGACAATATCTTTATTATTGCTTGAACACATGCAGATGAGCTATTCCAAAGCAATTGATCTTATTGAATTCTAGTCAATTTATTATTAAGCATATTAATTATATATTATAATAAAAAATTGGAAATAAAAACAACAATATTATAATATAATACATATTATATTATTACTTATTAGCGAATATTTTAGCGTTTAATAGTAGGTAGACCCGATTACAATGTCGTTATTGTAATAATATAATATTATATTATTATATACTTCTAAGATATTATAATAATAATAATTATATTATATACGTGTGTGTATTTATTATTACAATGTCGATAAAAAATTATGTTCTTTTTTTGTTGAGAAAAATATATATTAAAAAAAAAAAAACTATTTCAATAACTTTAACAAAAACATGTTAATTTTGCGTGTTTATATATACCTATTCCTTTTCACATACAGGGCCTGCTCAAGAAAAAATAGTGCACTAGGTAAAATCAAATTTTGCCGCACCTAAAATAGTAATTTGATCACTGTTTTGAAAATGTCGCCCCCATACTAAAGCATCGTCTTAGGTGTGGTCATGTGGGCCTAAGTCACCTACCGCTTGAGCCGGGCTAAACCTGGTTACCTATTTAAGTATCTCATCTGGGAGTCAAGACCTATAGCCTATAGGTATAACATATTATTTTGAAAGTAAACACTAATTTACTCAAAATTAAGTATTTAACACTTTTGCTAAATATTTTAGTCATTAAAAAAAACATTTTTAAAAAAAAATTATGTTTTTTCCTACGGTTATTATTATTTAAATGTTTACTCTTTTAAATGACAGCATACATTTTTAATTTCATATTCATAAGTAGAATAGTTTTCTGAGTATTATAATATATATAAAAAAAAAGTCTAATTTCGAACAAGCCGTATTAATCAGTTAAAAGTCATAATACTTATGACTTGACTTATAAGTATTTAAGGTTTTGAAGAACAAATTCTTGATGAATGGAATACAGCCACTCCACTCAGCTCATAAAAACTTTAAACAGGTATTGAAGGTACTTATAAGTTATAACTAATTAATTGAGTGCTAGTTTGAAATTCGATTTTTGTGTATTGAATTATTCAAAAAAATATTCTGTTTCGAAACATAAAATTAAAAATGTACGAGCTGTGATTTGAAAAATAAAACTAGATCCTTTAAAAAAAAATATAGCGAAAAAGATGTAATTTTTTCAAAAATGTTCTGTATAGTAGGTCTATTATATGTAAAAAAAAAAAATCCAAAAACGTTTTTTTTCAATTTGAGAATATGGAACGATTAGCTTTAAAACAGTCACCTTGTATACAACACCATATAGATATACTCACTGCGCATAAACTATATATTATAAAATATTTTATAATCAATGTGTCTTGCGGCCTCTCGCTGCTGTGAACTGCTCAAAACGTCCGTACGCGACAATCGATATTATTATTATCGTATTGTTTCGAACGAAAACGGGCGTGAGAACCGTATAGTATGGTTTTTCTCTACATATAATAACATTATTATACTGCACAAACGACCGACTCTGTTCGTCGGTGGGATTCTACCGCGAAGCATATACCCGGATCGGTATAATAATAATAGTTGTTACTCTCGAACGTTATTGGAAATAATATTATGCATGACAATAATATCATAAATTCATAACGACTTGCATGGGACGTTTGCATAGCATATTATTGTCTATTTGGATACAACAATTAATGGTGCAGAGAAATCTCATCTCATCAGAATATGGATTATTGATTGGTGCAACGTCTGGATTTCCGCAGATATTTGCGTGCTTTAGTTTTTTTATTGTTACCAGATTAAGAATTATTTTAGATATTTACTCGTATTGTAAAGATTTTTCGGTTTTTATTAAAATATGTATTTTCATAAGTTGTTAATCGGTTAAATTATTTTAAATCACATTTTTGAATGCAATGAACAAACTGACATAATATTTTAGATTTTGAGCGGATCGATGAATGTATTGATTTTGCAATGATGTGTGTTTTTTTAATTTAAAATTTTTTTTTTATTATTTGTGAAATAATGATCTGTTTTTCAACTTCAGTATCTTTTTCGATGGAAAATTGAATATAGTTGGTGCACTGGAGAGGTCAAAATTAAAAATTAACAATAGTTCCTTAACAGTAGTTCCCCACCGAGGAAAACAAAAAAAAAATTAATAAAAAATGGGAATATTTACACAAATTCATTTTTGGTGTAAAAACTCTGAAATAAATATTTGAATTACAACAAAATAATTAAATCACTACATGAGAAATCGAGTGAATATCCAATGTTGTAAAAATTAGAATTTCAAACGCTCTAAAAAATTTAATTTGACTTTCTTATAGAAATTTTTTTTTTGATAAAGGTAGATAATATTATAAGGAATCTTGTATTACATTTTAAAATCTTAGATTTAAAAAGAAAAAATTTTACGAATTCTTAACTCAAAATAATTTGCTAATTTTCGTGATTTATCCATATTTTGTCAATTTTTGAACTTTAAATGCTTATAAAAAAAAACTGTGACTAAGGTTTTTTAATATTTTTCATATGCCTTTGAAACAATATACTAGGAGCCTTCTATTAAAGTTTCAAGGTTTTTTAAACAATAAATAAAATTTTATTGATATTTTTAGAAAAAAAACTAAAAAAAAAATGGAAAATGAAAATGTTTCTAAACAGTTCAAAATATTTTGAAAATGTTATCGAGTATAGAAAATGCAAATATAAACAACCAGTGAAAATTTCATCTACCAATGATATTCACTTTTAAATCGAACAAGGTACTGAAGTTGAAAATCGAAGTATTATTTCGACTACTTATCGTGTAGGTACACAGATACAAAAATTTAAAAAAAAATTTAAAAATTAAAAATTAAAAAAAATTTAAAAAAACACACACATCGTTGTAAAATCAATACATTCATGGTTCCACTCAGAATCTAAAAATCACTACGTGTACATATTAGGCTTTGTAAAACGCAACTCATCCGATTTTGGAATCTTTTAAATTACTTTATTGCACATTAATTATAGATCAATTCTTGAACATGGATCAACTATTTGGTGTCCTTACACTAAAACTAAAATTAATTGAATCGAAAGAATTCAAAAGCGTTTTTTAAAGTTTATAATTTATATTAATATATATATATATATATCAGAGTTCATCAAATATTATTTATGTTAACAGATTAAAAAATGTCACCATATTTTATTTGTTCTTAATTAAAATAAAGTAAATACTATAACAAATTATT